GGTTAGATCCAGTTATGAAATTAATTCAAACAATACAATTCGATGATGCTCACTATGTGTCACCAACTCATTCAACATGATGACATAACTGGTAAACAATCTTCGCTGTTTAACCCTCTTTAGCCCATTGAGTCGATAATAAGGTTTAATTTTCCTGAGGTGGTGTGATTTTACCAAGGAATGTTTTGCTTTAAAACATGCGTTATCCATTAGGATCATGGTGTGCCTGTGACATAGCAGTTTCGATTCCGGGTACAAGTTTTTGTTTTGGTTTTGGAAATTCTTATAGTTTTATCTTTAGATAGCTTATTCAAGCATTGAGCTCTGTCATAGAACTTTCCCCGCAAAAGATATTAACTTTACGAATATCCTTTAGTTTCAAAGCTTAAACTTAAACATGAGTTCTGTAGATGGTCCAGGTGGTAGCCTCAGGGTGGGATTTATTTGAAACGTTACCGTCTTTAGGATAACCCCGGCCGAATTGAATTGGAGGAAAATAGCTTTTCATTAAAGTACTCTTGTCCCTTGATCTCTAGTTTAGTTTCCATGAAGGTACACGCATGAACAAGTAATAAAGATAATTGATTCAAATCCTTACCCCTCTTAAAAGTTGTCTATGCTCCTCCTCATAAAAAAACTCACCAAAGTCAAATTTCCGCTCTCTCAAGCACGTCAGCAACCCAATCATGTTTCCTGGGATTAGCTTGAGGAAGATTTTAGTTATTCGATTTTTTCTAGATTAAACTCTATGAGTTCATGAGACATGATATGAGTTCTGTAGATGGTCCAGGTGGTAGCCTCAGGGTGGGATTTATTTGAAACGTTACCGTCTTTAGGACAACCCCAGCCGAATTGAATTGGAGGAAAATAGTTTTTCATTAAAGTACTCTTGTCCCTTGATCTCTAGTTTAGTTTCCATGAAGGTACATGCATGAACAAGTAATCAAGATAATTGATTCAAATCCTTACCCCTCTTAAAAGTTGTCTATGCTCCTCCTCATAAAAAAACTCACCAAAGTCAAATTTCCGCTCTCTCAAGCACGTCAGCAACCCAATCATGTTTCCTGGGATTAGCTTGAGGAAGATTTTAGTTATTCGATTTTTTCTAGATTAAACTCTATTTTTCATATCTTGATGTTGCTTATCAAATGGATGACACATGGGAGGGAGTTAAGAAAGTTCAATCTTGGCGCCGGCGTCCACCGGGCAAAATGAGTTTTTCGATCCACTCTGCGCTTGAAAACAAAATTCAAACATTTTTTTAAATGAGCCAAATGTTTTTCGACCCATTCCTCGTCTTTTTATAATCGCACTCTTTTAAACTGTTTACGCATGCGCCACACGATAAAATCTTTTTTTCTGCGACTTCATCGACATTTTTTACCCATTCCGCATCTTTACGACGACACCTTATTTGTACAATTATCTCTCGTACTGCCCATGAAATTCCTTCTGAGACTTCTTTGAGTCCAAAACGTCTTTGTAAAAAATCAAACTCACAAGCATTCGCGCTCTAGTTGCACGATTTTTGTTTACAACTTCATAAACGGTATTTAATATACAAAAACTTCCGCACCGTTTTCGATTGACCCAAACTAATGTTTCAATCTATTTCGCGTCCTTTTGGAAATGACGCTTTCATGCGCTGACGTTGCGCAAGCTATAAAAGAAACCTTCTTTGACATTATCAGCATTCGAAGTTCAAAAACTGGGCAAGCCAAAAAATTTTGCGACTCACTCCTTGTCTTTTTGAAAACCACACTTTTTGCGCTTTTGTGCTCCCGTACCAGCCATAAAACTAGCTCTGCTGCCTAAGAGCTGTGTTAATATGTTTTTTTTTTCTCGGAAATATTCAGTCATAAAACGAACAAGTTAAAGTGGACGATAAAGGAAGTGATATTAACATCCTAAACTTTGAAAACAGCGCGACGCTTTTCTAGTGAGAATCAATTACCTCTCTCTCCCCATACCACGTTGCTTTTGTCTTCCAATCTCTTGGGTCGCGTAAATACCCAAGGATCCTAAACTTGGGCAAAATTTGTTGCACAGAAACAATAACGCCTGAAGTGGTCACCTACAGGTGCATTTTCGATCATGCGATTGAATGGTCCTTAAGGAAAAAGAACAATAAGCGGTAGTACTTTAAGCGGTTAGGACGGCAACTCCGAGGAAGCCCGGCGTTCAAAAATGAATTTATTCATATTCGACTTTAATACTGGTCAGTTTGCGTTTTGAACATACGACCAGCGAGTTTAAAAGGAATCTAACAAAGGGTTATCTAAAAATATCTCCTTTGTTTATTTAAATTCGAGCGTTTTAATTTTCGTCAGGCAATGAGTCTGATTAAAGTATTTGCCTTCTTTAAAAAAAGAACAGCTTCCTAGAGCTTCCCTCTATGATGGGGGTGCTACTAAACAGAGTAGCGGGGCAAGGAGTAACGGAGAAACAAGAAAACGAGTAACAGAACTTTGCTCTTGTATATTAAGTGATTTCGAAGCAATTTGAGACAGAAAACACCTCGGGATTTACTTTAGTTTTTCCAATCGCTCCTCACCTTTAACACGCGAATTTTATAACGTCGGTTAAAAAAAAAGAACTCACATCTTACCTACGAATTTCGCAATACTCTAAAGTAATTTAGTTTGTTTCTTGCTCGAAACTAAATATTATGGGAACATAGCGTTAAATTAGTGATAGAAATTTAGAAAATAAGCCGCTGTCGTTAAAGTTCTCCAGACAACGCAAAGTTTGGATATTTCACGTTGTTGTTTTGCAGAGGACGAAAAGAAATTTACAAAGGTTTATAGCGGACGTGCACAGCCATTTTTCTGCTCGTTAAACCTTTCGTTTAGTAACATTGCCATTGCCGTTTCCGTCGTGATTTTCTTAAACTCCCTATTATTCCAGAACACAACACTGTTTCTCACAAACCCACGGAGCGGCAATAACCGTAGCTCTTGCCAACATATTCTTCATGACAAAAATGGAAAAAAATATTATCAACCAGAGCAAAACTTAACCGCTTGTTTGGAAGAGGTATTATGACGACATTTTCTGTGTGTAGGGCACAACCAAACACATAATAGAAGAATTTGCAAGACGGGCAAACATGTACCACCATCCACGATCAAATTTACGGCGCAAAGATCAGACTCGGAAATTATATTCTTTGTCATAAGTCGTACTTGAGAAAGGTTTTCAACTTTTCTACGAAGAAAGACCATAGAAATGGATAACCGCAACCGGAAAGGAAAACTATGTAGTCGAAGGAATATAGAGCCTCACTAGTGAGAAGTAAATGTCGGTGTTTTGAAAAAATGAGAACTGAAGTAGAACAGAAATTAGAGTGCATGTTTACTGCTCGGAGAAAAAGATATCACAATCATGTGTCCTGTTGCGGAGAGCTTCAATAATTTGCAAAAATATATCACATCAAATTGTGAGGGATACTACTAATTGAAGACCATCCATGTCGAAAGCGCGAAGATCTAAGTGTTTCAAATCGACAAAGTTGTTAGAAGTAATTTCCTAACACTCGTCGTTCAGTTGACTATTTCTTTTATTCTCTCTTTTATTACGCAAGGTAATACAACGGGGACTGGCTCTGATCTCTCGAGGAAAGTGTGGATCACCGCTTATAAAGGTGACACCTACTGAGCTGTCAGTCTCTAACCTTCGTCATGCTTTTACACTTAGCTAGCGAATCACGCTAAACTACGCAGAACGGAGTTCGCATACTAAGTAGATACCTTCGCGATGTTTACACTTTACAAAATGTCTTTCTAACTTAAATTTCTTGGTCTTACGGTCAAGTTCGTGCAAAACAAAAACAAGATTGACAATATAAAATTTATAATAAACTTACTGACAGAATTAAAATCATACTTGAAAAGATATCTTAAGAGAAAATAGTCCTTGAAGAGGGTCTGAATGGGGGGTACTTCGATAACACTAAACACTTATTTTTTTGGCAATATAACATTAAACAGTTAATTTTTAGCCATTTAAACACTAACATTAAAAAATTCGTCGTAACATTATTTTTTTCTCATAAACAAACAAACTACGCCCTAAAAGGAGAAATATCTATGTTGGGCCTATGTTTATTGTATCAAAGAGGTTTTTTTGGCCATTTTCTAACAATTCGGGATTATTTCAAGACTTCCGAAGAGTGAGGAAGATATCCGAAAGTTGCCGAAGATGTCCGAAAGCTGTCGAAGATGTCTGAAGGCTGCCGAAGATGTCCGAACACTGCCGAAGATGTCCAAAGACTACCGAAGATGTCCGCTGAGACTGCCAAAGATGTCCACAAACTTATGACCGACGATATTTGAAGACTACCGCAGTTTTGGCTTGTATAACTCATAACAGTTCTATTCTTAAAGCGCTTTTACAGCGAGGATACACCAAAATGAAATTTAACATAAATGAGTGTTTAAATTTGACTAGTAATGAATGCAATAACAGAATATTTCTTTTACCAATAAGATGGGCTATATTAGTCAGAATGTATAATGATCAACAAAAATGACAGGCATGTCACTCCATCCTGGCCAGAAACATTTGATTATATTCCATACCTGAATAGTCCTGATTGTCCTGATAGTCCCAATTGTTTCTAGAGATCAAGGCGAAAATGAATGCGGGCGACGCGACCAAATCTGCTGAACGTTATGTCTGTATCATTGTCCGCATCGCTCTCCGAGTCGGTGTCGAATTCATCCTCTTGCTCGGGGAGGTCTGTCACGTCACCAACTGCGACAACTCCGAGCATGCTTTCGTCAACAAAGTTGATTCTCGGTACTTCGTTTGTAGTTTGTGGAATATTTGTATCCTGGTCGACTCGTTCTTCATTGTCTGTCCCTGGATCATCTTAAACATCCTCTTGGAATGTTACTCTAGTACACGATGGCGTACTGGGATATACAGCTGGCGGCAGGGCTCCTGCTTTGTCTTTTGTTGATTCGCTTCTTACCGTCCTTGACAGGTCGATACCTGTCAACCAATTCCTTCATGGCTGCCTCAATGTTGGGGTCAACGTTATCAGCTGAAGGAGGTTTCATCACATTTACGTCCCGTAACTCCACACTGGATTTAGGCACTGGATAATAAGACTTCTCAAGTGTGAAGTACTTCGCATCCCGCTTCGTTGTTCTCTTTAAAGATTCCTTTGAAATTGTTCCAAAGTCTTGAGCATACTAAAGAACGGTGAAAGTCTCGTTTTTGAAGTGGGAGATTGCACGAAGGTTCTCCACCTGAGTTGTTAGCAGCGTACACAGGTCAATGTCACCAAGATAGTCCTCGTTTACATTCTTAACGTTATCTCGTAGCTGTTCCATACCTCTTTCGAGAAGCACCAATGACTCCTGTGTTTTTGTGGAAACAGTTCCTTCAGGGCCATTTATTGTTGCTGTTTCTTTCATTTTATAGTGCTGCCTTACTTCAGCGACTGTGTTTTTAATATAAGCATTTACAGATGAAACATTGCACACAGCATCTTGAAGAGATAATTGGACCGCGTCGATCGTATGTGCACCCAATTCCAAAACTATCATAGAGACATTCGAGGTTGCGAAGAAAGGACACTTTGCCAGTAAGCCCCGAAACTAGTTTGATTGTTTCAGCAGCTATATCAGAAACAAAAAAATTTTCTACAAGGAACAGATTGTATGAACTTATGCAAATGAGCAGCTTTCTTCAATTCCATCAACGGTTCCTTCATGGCCAGTACCCAACAAGGTCTCGACTGTTGCACTTAAGGGATTAAAGGTCTTAACCTTTTGATCTTTGTTGTCGGTGAAACCATACAGCTTCTTCTTGATTTCCTTACAAGAATCTGAGGAATTCCGCAAGAGTAGCTCAACATTGACAGAATCTAGGTTACAACCATATAACCCTTCAGCTGCGCCAGTTGCTGCCAAGTATGCTGATTGCCGCAGAACATAAAGAGATTCAATACTTGTCACGTTATTGGAGTAGTTTATCTGTCTCAGCCTACTACTGATGATAGCCACTCCATTGTACTCTAACTCCAGCTGCATTATGCTTCTCTGCTCATCATCTGCACACAAGAGGATATCCTTACTTGCCTCACAGATGGAAGTTGGTTTACTTAAAGGTGGGTTAATCTGGATAATTTGTTTATTCTCGACTTGTGCAGCTAAAGATCTCAGCTGTGTCGTCAACCGCTTCTGTAGAACTGGACCTGTACCCTCAAGTGACAATCTGAAACGACTAAGCTGCGAAAGCAAAGCAGCTCGCGATTTTAGGCGTCCGGGTTTGAAAAGTACTTCACCTTTCAATTCAATGAAACGGATTGTTGATGAGCCTCTCTCTGCAACGAAGACTACGCCATTGGTAAAACATAGGTCCCGCGCATCCTTGAATACTTCCCTCCGAACATTTACTTCGACTGGTCGCGCATCCTTGAATACTTCCCTCCGAACATTTACTTCGACTGGTCGGTGTAAATGCAGTTCTACGAGACTATCGAGAGTCGAAATCGTAGTCTAACGCCAGTACTTTGCCTTGTAGCCCAATTTTAAGTGCAATTGGTCTTTCGCAAACACTACTTTGGTTGGATTTCCAGAAGCGATACTTTTCAGGAACTATTGTGTCGATTACCAAACGTATCCCCTTAAGTACATCTAGTACTGAGGGTCCAGTAAGGCGCATTATCAGTTCTAAGGACAAGAGCATTTTAGCTTTGGCTCACTGTTCGCGAGTGATTTTCTTGATTTTCTTGCAGAATTTAAAAGAGCAGATAAATTTGAAAATGCTTAAAAAAAACTTTGGGGTCTCCTTTCAAACACTAAACAGTATTTTTTTTAAGAACAGTAAACATTAAAAAAATGGCCAATTTAACAGTAAACACTAAAAAAATATCGGCAAATAACACTAAACACTTAACCCCATTCAGACCCTCCTTGAAAGCTGTTGCATAACAGCAGAATAAACACAAAATTCGGAGAAGAAAGGGCACACCCAAGGTACCGCCCCTAAAAGAGCTACGTGCCAGTCGTATAAGTTATCTGATTACAAATTCAGTGCGGAAGATGAAAAGTACTACATGTTTACACTTTAAGTCACCTCTAAGAAAAAGAGGTGTCGAACGTGCTGAATTAAAATTTAAAAACTATTTTCCGGATCGGGAATTCGACATGGATTTAACCTAAAAACGAGAATATTAAAGCCGTAAAGCATAAGGAAGGGTTACTTCCAAGAAACTCCTGTACAGGATCAATTTTTATAAGGTAGAGTCATTTTCTTAGTATTTAATCATCTTCTAGCAACATAATGGAAATATACTGATATCTAGCCGCAAACTGCAGTTTACGCAAAAACATTTGTCTCCATGTCAAATTCACCATCACGATAAGGAAAAGGTAACTCTACCTGTAAGATAAGACCGCCAAAAGTAAGAAAAAGTGATCAATTGGCTTATTACAATGTTTACTGAATGGCTTATGCTAATATATTATTTCCATTCATTTTCAACGTTCAAATAAGTTAAAAAACACCTATGATGAAAATTCTTGCTAAAAGCCAATTTTGTCTTTTAACATATTTTCCCCCCTCAGATGGAGCTGTCCTCAGCTTCAAATAAGAATTCTTTGCGAAGGTTAAAAACAAAATTGAATTTAACGAAATGAGATAAAGAAGAAAAGAAAAAGAAAGACTTTGTTATTAGCATACACGTTGTTTTTTTTTCGTTCGTTTTCCGTTGGCGTTCGCTTGTTTAGTTACTATTTATTGTTTTTGTTATTATGACCCAAGAATAAATTTGTGTACGAATTTGCTGTCAAGTAGGAAGAACCACAGCACGATAAATTGATGAAAAAGATGACATCTGTGTTACATGTGAGGTAGACAAAATAGTCCTTGGGTAATTTCGGGAAATTTTCACTCCAATTCGGGCAGCATATTTAGAGACGGAAGAACTAAAATTTCATTGTTCAGACAACCATTTTGAACAGTTGCTTCATAGCTACAGTGTAATAAACGCTTTATCTCCGAAAGCTAGGTAGCGTATGGTATAAAAGTGAATTCCAAAGCTTGGAATTTGCTTAACTTTGCATCGTTATTTGGGCAGTCTTCATTTTCAGAGTCGCATGGAAGATTACAGTGCCTAAAACTCAGAATTTGATTTTGTTTCCCTCGGCGTGCGAAATCTTGGTAGCTCCGTAAAAATTCGTTTAAAACCCAAGTGTGGGAAGCTGCGTTCATACCATTGATTGCCTTATACTCCTAAAAATTTTGCTTTTCGTCACAGTTTTGAAAACGAAAATTCTTGTTAGGTGCCAATTTTGTCTTTTAACAAAGTTCGCGACTGACGAGCGTTGACAATCACCCCGTGATTTCTTTTATTCAACTCGATTTTTTCCGAAATCTGCCTGCCCCACCCAAGCACTTTACAGTGCTTTTGATGTTTTCGCTCATTGGAAAGGATTTTCTTTAATCGCAAAAGTCAGGGTAGTACTAAGAAATGTCCCCCGACGACAGATTTTATCCACTAAGAAAACACATCTCGGAAAACTTTTTCCAAGTGCAACTAACGCCTATGACACAAAAGTGTACAAAGGCAAGAGATTTAACCAGGAATCGACCCTTGACGTGCAAGTGCATAAAATTACAAAGAGACAGAGACCTTCCAATGCAGGTGCCGAGAGGAGTTTTCTGATTAAATTTCCACTGAAATGCTGTATAGCATGGCCTCTGCAAACTCTCAGCTTGTTATCTTGCCAATCCTTAAGGCTTTCATTTCGTACAGGACGACCTCTTGTCGATGGTTTCGTTATCGCGAACATGGAATGATAAGGACAAAAAAAAACGTAGCAAATAGACGACAGATACTTAAATAAACTAAATGAGGTTATAGAAAACCGTTTCTCGGTCAAGATTGTAGATATATTTAGCCGAATAATATCACATATAAGTTGGCCTCCTTTTTTGTTATACAGAAAGTGTTGAGAATGGCCACTTCACAGCAGTGCATTCTGGTTGAGAGAGGTCGTTTAAAGAACGCTTGTGGTATACAACCACTGCAACACTGCTGATGAAACGCTTAAACGAAACGGTTTTAGCAAAAACGAAGACCCCCCGAGAGCTAAGACACAAATTAGAAAATTCAAAATTTCAAGACATCCTTTAGAAAATAAATGTTGAAGGACCGCATGTGGCTACTGGTATAGCACAAGTTTTAACACATTTTCTTATCTTATTGCAATTCCATTTTTTGAGACTTGTTTCATACCAAAAGGCATTTCGCGATATAGAATATTCCGTCATTCCGTGTCTTAAGATTTTCCATCATTCCTCGCATCGCAAATTTAGCGGCTCTTTCGGCATAAGCCGCTGATTCAAACAGAATAATGCTCTCTTTTTATGAAGAAAACAATTTTGCAAAGCTTTCATGATGTGCAGATCACATCTTTTGAGATATTTTTGCAAGGAAAAGTTTTGATTTCAATTATGCGTCGGTGGATGCCACTGTGAACTATTGTGAGATGTTCATCGTCTTTAGTAGTGTCACGGCAAGAACTGAAAGATTATGTCTTCCGATCTGGGCATCTGAATTAAACGGTTAAACGCTCTCTCTTCACAGAAAAAAAAATCTGCTGTGTTTCACGATGCGCCGATCACACCTATTTCTGAAAGGAAAACACTTTTTTTTTAATCGCGTGCAATATCCTGAATTGATTGTGAGATGATTAATGTCTTCTTTTGACTTCCGTAGTGTCACGGCAAGAACTGTAAAGTCGGTAAATATAATGTGCAAGTGGCTCTAAGCTAGAAATCACAAAAAGAGAGAACTCAACTGTGTATCGAATGCATATCGAATGCGAATGTCGAATCAATGAGACACCGAAAAAAAAAATAATTATGAGTAGCATCGGGAAACATCGGGTCGAAATTGGGTCAAGATCAGAATTCTATTGTTTCACTCACTCACTCACTCACAAATTTCGACAACTCATGCGGCTTCGCCTCCTGTAGGAGGCAGTAGCCACAGAAAAACGGCTCAGAGGCGCATTCGCTGCGAGACCACCAGGAGGCAACAGCTGATAAACCGCTGAGGAACGGTTTAAGGCAAGCGCTTCAACAGCGGTGATGAAGGCCTGAAGACAACCGTTTGATAACTGTCTGAGGCCACCGCTTGAAGACATCGCTAGTGAGCTTTTAAATACAACCGCTATAATACCCCTGATGAATGCTCGACGTTAGTTGCCACAAAACCGCTCATAATGGCATGAAAACAGTCTCAACAATGAATATGGAAGCGATCCTCGAAGTAATGAACACTTCTTAAGCAGTAGTGAAAATATGGCCTGAAAAAAAAAAACAGACCTGAACGGGATTTTAACCCGTGACCTCTGCGATATCGGTGTAGCGCTTTACCAACTGAGCTAACAAGTCAACTGGGAGCTGATCATTATGTTGGTTCCAAATAAACCCGTGAAGTGATGAATAAATGACCGTAGAATATATGAAAATCATATAGGTGAACTGCAGATAAAGAAACGAATAGGAAAGCGATCCTCGCAGTAATGAATAATTCTTAAGCAGAATTGAAAATAAGGCCTGAAAAAATTCAGGCCTGTACGGGATTTGAAACTTATTTTTACTACTGCTGAATTTTTTTCAGGCCCTATTTTGACTACTGGTTAAGTAGTGTACATTACTACGAGGATCGCTTCCATATTCATTTCTTTATCTGCTGTGCACATGTGTGATTTTCATATACTTACAGTCATTTAGTCTTTACAATGTTACTCAGGACCACATAAAGACAACCAGCACTAAAAACGCTCAGTACAACCGCTATTCTTGAATGGATGTCACTCAATAGAAAATTAGTGCTCGTGGCTCAAATGAAAATTCAGTTAATATTTAGTGTGTTAATAAATCTTTGCTGAGAGTTCTGAAAGAATTTCACATTACATTCATGCGTTAATATCAACGTTACTCTTCATTGTTTCGACTGAAAGATTCTCTCTGGTCACTTCTGGTTTCAATAAACTATTCGATCTAATCACCAGCGAGATTAAAGGAATATAACAACAGGTGATTTAAAATGAGTCCTCCATTTCTTTCAATATTCGAGTTTTAATCATCGACAAGCGATTAATCAGATCAAAGTTTTCGCCATCTTTTAAAATTTGTACCGCTGCTTAGAAAACCAGATGGTGTGCCTTGAAATATTGGCAGATTAATTGAACGATGTTATTTTGCATCAGAATCTCTCGAGGGTAGAGTAACTTGATCTAATTATCCACTAGTGTGAGGTAAATACAAACATTATTATTTCGAAAAAGTATCGGGTGCTTTCAAGATGTAGCTAGGAAAACACACGTCGCAGACAGCACAGTTCACGCTTCGTTAAAATGACTTACTTATTCCAGGAACTTGTCCAACAACCAGTTACAGCATTTAACACGAGAAGTGTTCGCTGGCATCAAGGTTTCCTACAAGGGGATGTTGACGCTGTAAGTAAGACTTATATACTGTAAATCAACGTTAATGAAAAGCAAAAAAAAAAAATCAGAAATCAATAAATTGAAATTAAATGTGGTTAACTATGGAGCCAAACATCCAATAGCTCGAGCCACCGCTTTCTAACCGTCTATAACTGCTTAATAAGATCACATAAAGCCTCATGTTTCACAAGTTTGAAGTTTGTATAAAAGCTAACGGTAACGAATTAGTTTTTTCGCCGTATCGTTACTTTTTAATCAGTAGAAAAAATTTAGCCCAAGGGTTCCTTAAAGTAACTGTTGAAATGAATTAAGCAATACTACACACCAAAATGTCTAATAAGTTGTTCATTATCCAACTGCTTTTTCTGCCGAGTTTCTCTGCTAATTTTTTATAAGGCGGGAAAAGCAAAGCGGAAAGAGAAGCGTAGCGCGTGCCGCCGTCCGGTTAAACAGGTTTTTTTACTGTACAAAATAACCAACTGTACAATATCGTAGGATATTTGTGATTCACTTGTGCTCCATTCGCGCCATATTTGTACTCTACTTTGTGCAGTTGAATATAATTTTGAAATAAACGGTTGTGTTCTACAGCTTAACATGTTTGAATGAAGGACAACTCCGAGGTTAAAGAGAGCACGCGTAGTTGATTTAATATTCTTTTTAACACCTCCTTAAATTTAAAATATCATTTCAACTCCAGTCAATTAAACGAAAATCGTCTTTCTCATGATTGAGAAATTGTTTCTTTTAGTAAGATTAGCAGGTGTTACCACCTCCACAAAATACCAAGTAAACAATATTATTCAGCCGCAGGATAGGTTTACATAAGTAAACAGCTCAGTGCGGTTACAGCCAAGTTAAATTTAATTTGGAGAGTCAATGAAGACATATGAAATAGCCCCAATCACATCAAGATGAAGTCAAACACTTTTATTCATTAATCAGGAAATAATCCTCTGTGTAATAGCGTACACTATGTTGTTGTAATTGTTGATTATAGGGACCTGTCCAACAACCAATTAAAGAATCTATCTTCAGGAGTTTTTACTGGCATCAGCGTCTCCCAATATGCTTCTCTGAACCTGTAAGTAAGACTGTTAAACTTTGATTTTATAATTGTTTTAAGGGACTAAAAGTAGATCAAGGTCTACACCTTACCCAGGTAAGTGTCGGGATGAAATAAGAGAAAGAAAGAGTGCATGGATGCTGAACTGACTCCTCCCCAACTCATGAGGTGTTGCTGACAGGAATGACAGCTATATAGCCGGACATATGTGATGAAAACCATCAAGCGACGTAGATATAAGTCTGCAACATTAGAATCCATCAATTCTTTCTATCATAAAAAAAAACTATTGTTGTTTTTTTTTATCGCGTATCCGGTTATGGCGAGGACCTCATGAACATTTACCAATCATTGGGCGCGATTGTCCGGTTAAAAGGAAGTTTCGAAAGAAATAATGTCATCTTCTGAGACAAACGTTTTGTAACCGTGGGCGTAAGTCATCAAACGGAATCAAGTACATAGTCGCGTGTTATTTGAATGAATAAAGTTCGGCTCTTTATTATTAATTGGTCAGCTCCATGATATCTATCGTTTGATTTCCAGATTTATAACAGTTCGTCAGTCTCTTTTGGTTGATTTTGATCCGTCTGTCATAATTCAGGGTCTTTTGATTTATAGAAACAGCAGCTCAGACTACTTCGCTTAGATCTTGAAAGTTCACATCAGCTCGGTATCATACTCTTGATTCTGTTATTACCTTTGGCAAAATTGAAAATTTTATCAGATATTTTTTTGATCTTAATTTAACTTGATCATGAAGAATGTGGCTCATCACGTGACCCCAACTTTTGTTCCCCAATGACTGCCACAACATACACCAGGCACTAAAATTTGTGGAAAGTGCGGCGTCACCGACGGAAACAATATGACTTCCTGAACACTTTTAGTTGGACGTCATGACTGGATGCTCAAGATAAATAGCCATTTAGGCAGTAAGATTGTCGCTCTCGGTGATGGAATGGAGAACAAATTTAGTGGGAGGTCGTAATTAAACCTAAAAAGAAATAATAATGATCCAAAGGTAGTCGATGCATCAGTGAAAACTTTTTAATTTAAAAAAACTTAAACTCATAAGTATTAGACCGTTCAAAGTAATTTTTAAAGGGTTTAATAGAACTCGAGAGTCTTTCATTAGGCACCGTGTTCATCTAGTGCTTTGTGCGTAACGTTCAAACGGATACATGTCTCAGCTTTCTATTGTTTTGTTTTCCATAAAATAACTGAGTTAGCTTTAAGAGCTAATGTCAGCGTGCATCAATCAAACAGCGGCAAGTCACCCAAATTTGTTTCCCCTCCTACTTTTTATATTTTGTAGCCCAATATGTTCTAATAATTGTGGTGTAGTTGTTTTGTAAAAATATATTTTAGTTTTCGAGAAATAATTTTTTTCGTTCGACCGCTCAAATATGCAAATTTTCACCGTGAATATTACCCGAGTTATGTGACCTCATGTTATGAATGTACTAGACCTACGGTATTTCTGTAAACAAAAAGTTTTGTTTTATCATCTAAACGTAATCCCCTGTCGTTATTGAAGCTGCCAAAGAAATATTTATTTTTTGGTGAATATTTTTGTCCGACATACTTTTCCTATATCGAAAAGTAGCATCAAAACAAAGACAATTTTAACAATGACCGATATGACACAATCTACTAAGCTTCAAGCTTTCATAAGACAAAAGGATGGTTATAAAGTTACTGTAAAAATTTCCTTGTGTATTTGCGTTGTTCTATCTTGAGACGAACTCAAAGTCTGGCAAAATTTACTTGATAGCGACTATGAAATGTACATCGACCTTTTGTCACGCGTTCTTTTTTCGTATCAATTCAATCGGACTAACACCTTGATCAATGAACTTCTTTGTGTGTTTTACCTTCTTTGACATGATGTTATCTGGTGATATCTCTTAGCGGAATAGTTCAAGATTTTTCCAAAAAAACTGAGTACAAATGTTTGATAGCGTAGAAAGCTCCGGTTAGAATTTAAGCGTCCCGCCGTCAGAGGTTTCGCTGTTCACGATGTTGAACGACAATATGCCTACGTGGTGGAGACATCACGGAGAACTGGAAATAAAGTGCTAAGTGTTATTTTAAAGTCACCTTTGATATGGGAAATCTATCATGAAAAAATTGCGCTCGCTCTATGTTAAAAAACCATTTGACACCCTAGCCTACGTGTAGCCGTGCCCTCCCCCCAAGGTGAAACGGAAGCGAGGGAACGTCAACGGAAACCTGACACCGACTAATCGTGTTCCGTGTCGCCACTCTAATTTATGCAAAATAATGTCATTTGATAATATTTGTTTGTGAAGTGGCACGTGTTAGCAAGAAGGTTATCGAGATAAACAACAAAACTGAAGTGAATTTATTTTCCATTTTTCGGGTAAATTTGCAATTCAGCGGCCGATTTCAAATATACACTTCGCTTTAAGGATATAGGAAAAGATTATGAGCGATTTTTTTGTATAGAGTAAGGAGAGGACGGTGTTCGATTAGCACCGCGCTTACGACAGTCCTCGCGGTTTCTGCTTGCATTTGTAAACAATGCCACGGTCGGCGAAATAATTATGCTTCAAGCGTGAAGAAAGAGCGACTCTTTTCTCAGTCGAAAGAATCGCTGCAAGAAATAACTAGCTTTAATTTAAGTGACTAAACGTCTGGCAGCCGGACGGTAAGCCGTAGATTCTAGGCGGCTGTTCGTGTCGGGGTCTTATCTTGTTGTAAACGGCCTCTGGTAGATATCCGCTTCGCTTCAAGGTAAGCAGCTTTTCGGACAACTTGCGGGTCAGACGGTCTGTCGGATCTTTGTTGAGGAGCTGGTACGATCCGTTCTCAATAAGCATAGACATCTTAGTTCGGTAGGTGTCGGTATACGCTAGCGCGCCCTTTGTCCGCTGGGAGAACCATGATGGACTCGTCTTCTCTCAGGCTTTTAAGTGCATCTCGCATCTCCTTCATAATGTTAGGCTCTGGTGGTTCCGCCTGTTGAAGGATACCGTTAACAGCTCCTCTGACACTATCTGCTTGTTCAGCGTCGAGTTGTCTTACGGCTGCTTCGACCATGGCGATGATCTCTGTGGCAAGAGTATTCGCAGGAGTTACGGCGAAGTTCAGTCCTTTCTTCAGTAGGGCTCTCTCGGCATCGCTAAGGGACCTAGAAGATAAATTAACCAGCCAGTTAGCTTTGTCAACATACGGTGTGTCAACCGGTGACACAGTCGCCTGTTTTTCTCAAATGAGTTTTTCAAACTTCTGCTTATGTCTCTCTTTGGTGGTGTTGAAGACTCGCAGTTTGGTGTTGGTCTTAATCTGCTCTAGTAGCCTGTTGGCGTCGTTTGTCGAGAGAGCGGATGTTATGCTCTGTGCTGTGGATTCTGTATCCTCCTTTGCATCTCCCTTGGCCTACTGTGTCAGTCTGATCCGTTCCCTTAGGAATCTCATGGATGCGAGTTCAGCGACTCTGCGTGCGCCTTTGGTGGGAACTGGCACATAATAACAAAATTCTGAGGCCACTAACTCGATTTAACGGCAACATGACTCAAGATCATCACTCTATCGACTTGAACTTTTGCTTACTCAATGCACAATCCCTGAATAACAAAGCCGGCGAGTTTACCGATCTTGTTTCTGAGTACAAACCAGATGTGGTTGCTCTAATAGAAACATGATTTTATCTGATGGAGTCAGCCTCGTGAACACTCTGCGCGCCTGTGGCTACAAACTTCTAGACTATCCACGAACTAGTCGAACAGGGGAAGGGACTGGAGTACTGTTCAGGGACAACCTAACTGTGAAAAAAGGAGCTACCGCTGAACTGCGATCATTTGAGTACTCTGAGTGGGATAATAAGTCTGAAACCGACCGGATCCACCTTATTATCGTCTACAGAACACCATACTCTGAGGCACATCCCGTCGCCACAAGTGTCTTCTTCTAAGAGTTCTCAGCATTTCTCGAGTCTGCAGTTTTTTGCTCAAGCCATCTATTAATTACTGGGGACTTTAACATACACATGGACGCGGAAGCTGACACTGATGCAGTTAGACTGCGCGAAATACTCGAGAGTACTGGTCTAAAGCAGCATGTTACCGCTCCCACTCACATCAGCGGGCACACCCTTGATCTTATTATTACAAGATTGTCTGACCAGCTTGATATTTGCAGCCCATGGACCGTTTATCTATTTTCTGACCACATGTTAGTCTATTCCAAACTCCAAGTGTGCAAACCTGCCCTTAAAAGATCGGATATAACTTTCAGGAAAATTAGGTCTATCAATAAGAAGCTCCTACGGGACGAGATTTCTAATACCGATCTCTGTAAAAACCTGCTTTCATAAAACCTCGATAGTCTGGTCAATGCCTATAACAACACATTCAAATCAGTCCTTGACCAATATGCACCAGCTATCAATAAGACCGTAGTTAAAAGACCAACTGTTCCTTGGTTCAATGATGGAGTAAAGTCTGCAAAAAAGGAAAAGAGGCGTGCGGAGCGGAAATGACGCAGAACAAGGCTCCATAGTGATCTGTTAGATTTTAAGGCCAAGAAAAAACCTGGCTACCTATGTTATTAAAAGAGCACGATCCGACTACTACACCAACTTTATACAGGCAAACTGCAGCGACTCGCGCAAGCTCTTCTGGTCTGCAAAAACGCTCTTTGACCAGGAGGTGGACCTGAATTTTACGGGTTACCACGACGACACAAAATTAGCTAACGATATCGGCAAGTTTTTCGTACAGAAAATTGAGCGCATTCGAACCAAGCTCGACACAGCTACTACTACAGACTCTAGTCCATCGTTTGAACCACCACATTCAAACTCAGCTCAGCCAGCCTCTTTCAAAATCCTGAGTCAGAAGGACGTTAAGAGTTTAATTGGGAAATCGAGCAAGAAGACCTGTCGCCTTGACCCTATACCTACTCCCCTGGTAGTTGAGTGTCTTGACGCCCCCCTACCAGTGATCATTAGGATGATTAACCTTTCTCTACAATGCGGAACCTTCCTTGATGACTGGAGGCTTGCTGATGTTAAACCGAGATTGAAGAAGACTGGCCCCGAGGCATTGTTTTCCAATCTGCGACCCATAAGCAATCTATCATTTGCTTCAAAACTTACCGAGCGAGCTGTGTTTGCCCAAACACATGATCACCTCATAACAAACAAGCTCTACCCTAAAGCACAATCTGCGTACTGTGAATTCCAAAGTACAGAAACTGCTCTGCTACGAGTGAAAAATGACATCTTACTTAACATGAACCAACAACGTGTCACTTTACTCATACTTCTCTACCTCAGTGCGGCTTTTGATACTGTGGACCACACAATTCTGCTCAATCGCCTCTCCAGGGACTTTGGCATTACGGGGCATGTGTACTCCTGGTTTGAGTCCTATCTTCACAACAGAACCCAGTCCGTCTCCATCAATTGTAGAACGTCAAATAAATTCCATACAAAATACGGTGTACCTCAGGGTTCCTGTCTTGGCCCTCTACTGTTCGTCCTATACTCAAGCAAACTGTTTAAGATCATCGAACGTCACCTTCCCGATGTGCACACCTACGCCGACGAAACGCAATTGTATATATCCTTCAATGCCGATTCTAGAGCTGAGCAGTCGGCCGCTTTATCGGCTATGCAAAACTGCACTGCGGACATTAGAAAATGGATGCTTCAAGACAGACTAAGGCTAAACGACGATAAAAAGGAATTCATTATCATCGGAAAAAGACAACAACTCGCCAAAGTCAACATAGACTCCATGCAGGTAGGTGAAAGTGGCATCACCCCAGCCAGCAGAGTCAAGAACCTAGGCTGCTGGTTCGATGGACAACTTAAGATGGATACTCAAATAGATAGCATCTGTAAAACCGCACTTTTTTTTCACTTATACAACATCAGAAGGATAAGAAAATTTCTTAACTTTGAATGTACAAAGATTCTAGTAAATGCTTTTGTAACTAGCCGTTTGGACTTCTGTAACAGTCTGCTATATGGGTTGTCTAACAACCAAATAAACTAAATAAACTACAGAGAGTCCAAAATGCAGTCGCTCTTAGGCCAACTCTAGCCAGTCAGAGTTGACGAAAGAATCGGCAAAAGGGGTTAACCAATAAAAAGTCATTATACATTTTCTTGCAAAAGAGTGACGTCACGGAACACCCGCACTCTATTACTCGTAATTCCTACAACCCGGCAATGAGACCAGTGATGGGAAGTAAGAGTCTCGAAGAGAGATTTAAAAGTTGTGCTTGGCTTTAATTCAGGAATGGAGATAAACTTGTTAACCGTCTATAAAGAACTTTTTTCGATGTTGCCAACTGTCATGCGTCCTGTGGATAAGCCATTTGTCTGGGTGACGCTCACTGTGGCGTAGTGTCAATAATAAAAAGTAGCCGCACCGGTAAACATCGGGTAAAAATTGCGTCAAGATCAGAATTCTATTATATCACTCTCTCACTCTCTAATCTCGACAACTTATGTGGCTTCGCCTCCCATAGGAGGCAGAAGCGGATCAGAAGCGCATTCGCTGCGAGACCACCAGGAGGCAGTAACCGTCTATAACTGCTTAATAAGATCACATAAAGCCTCTTGTTTCACAAAGTTTGTATAACTGCTAACTGTAACGAAATAGTTTTTCCGCCGGATCGTTACTTTTTACTCAGTAGAAAAAATTTAGCCCAAGGGTTCCTAAAGTAACTGTTGAAATAATGTGTGTCTAGAGGGGTTGAAAGGATTCATCTTTTAAGATGATTTAAAATATTTCGTTAAGTTTATCAATAAGCGAGTTCAGTTCAATTTAATAAATTAAGCTGAATAAACAATGAATCGATCATGATCACGAGCGATGTTAATCCTTATGAGACATTTCAAATCGGTAAACAGCTTCAGCTGTTTGAATGTTGGACCATACAGGGCTCAGAGGATGGCACATAAAGTTTATTTTAACAATTTGTTCATTACTTCTTCAAATTCTGGATTAGATTTTCATTCCAGCCAAGTAATTTAAATATTATGTGTCTCATGGTTTTGAAATCATTACCTCTACTCGGATGTGCAGATAGTATCAACCTGAGAAAATGCTCAATAAAAAATGCTACTCGAAGAATGGAATATTAGTAAGGCCAGGTTAATTTTTTTAGCGAGATATATCCGATAACGTTAAAAATAGTTGCACATTATTTAAATGGTACACAGAGTTTTTTTAATTACATACTTTGTCATACGCTATGCAGATATTCCTTTCAATCTGGATTATAATTCATATACATAACTACGGACTGACTCAACATTATTCTTTAACACGAGGTTGTTTTTGAGGAAGAGCCATCGTGACTTATTTTCGGTCGCTTCGAACACTTGCTTTTTTTGCAAAATACGTGAATCAATCAGCACGTTGTATCAAGGTTTCTTTCAAACTAATAGAAAGTTTTTTGCAAAATGCCGCGTACTAACGTTTCCAATCGACAGAACGTGTCCTTAGTGGAACTTTTTATCGCAATTTTAAAATCGAAAAAATGTCCGAATCAGCTGTTGTGATATATTAATTTTAAAACGAAGCGCGAAACCATCTTTTTACAGTGTTAGCCACTGTTACATCGACAGCTCAACTCTAGTTCGTTCATCAGCATGTTTGAATATTTCCCCATTTCCCAAATTTTCAAATGCGCATCACAGTTTAAGAGTTAAAATATTACAATCAACTAAAGCTATGAAGAAAAGGGAATATGAATGAAAGGTTACCACAAAGATTACATCAAAATTAAGAGAAATAAACTACAATAAAACGCCCTGATTAAAAATGTCCATAAAAAATGCGATTTCTATTGTATTTGCACTCCCTTTATTCAGAGGAACTGCATTCAAGAATTTTATCAAAACAAGTTCACTTAGGCTAGCTTCAGACTGAAAACAGCTATGACTAAGAACGGGTCTGTCATTGGAAATTCTGAGATCATAATTTGGTAACAAGGAGCTAAAAATTTATAATTTAACGAATCATAAAAGTAATTAGAAGTGTTTTAAACTCCATTCTTTTTCTTATCGGAAGCCAATGTAATTAAAAACCAATCCCGAGCATTCTTTATCCGCTGCAGCTTAGGTATAAAAAAAAACTGCTGATATATTCAGAAAGCTGTTGCACTAGCCCATTCGGGTTGTAATGAACGCACCAATGAGGACCTCTGTTGACTGTGAAAAGCTACATATATTTGTGACGTGTGTTGGCATAGACAGCCTGGAATCACATCAGACGCAGAGATTTTACTGCTAGCGATGAGCACAGGTTTGATGTTCGAGTCAACAACAAGAGCACTGACAGGTATCCAATTTTCCCCTATTGTGGTGTCCCAATAATGAGGAACTCGGTCTTGTTGTCGTTCAGTTTAAGATTATCGTTCAACATCCATGAACGGATGTCCCTTACCTAGTGTTCGATACTTTTCATCGTAAAAAATGCGTCCATATCAATTTATCGCAGCTTCCTAAATGAAACATGGTTAACTTTAATAGTGGTCGAGTTGCTTTCAGTTTGAAGAGCAGTGTCAGATTATCCGAAAATAAGCATACGTTGACCCCTGATAAAGTTATCCGAGTTCCGCGTAATTATCAGGTCCAGTACGCGACCCAGTTCATGTGTTGATTCCGAAACACGTTGAGTTAATGATATCGACTCCAATAAATCAAAGAAATGACAAGCCGCCGTGTTATTGTGATCATCAACGCAGATATCGAAACTTAAGAAAAGAGGATCACGAGATAAAATGATAGGTTCCAAGAAGTCTGAAAATTCCTCAACAAAACTGATAATAGTCACAGGATTGGTTCTTAAAGGACGGTCGACGATTTATTATGAAAAGTCTAAGTCGTGATGATTTGGTAGAGACGAAATAGTCGGAAAATTCAAAAGACGTTCTTAGACGAAATTAGAATTCGCAAAAAACCGACCAAAAAGCAGCTTATTTTTTTAATCTCGTTTTATTTCTTTTAAATGTCAAATTTCCTCGTTTTCTTGTTCAAATGTCTGAATGGTGCGACCGATCATAATGTTCATGATTTTGTTTCCTTCTTTTATTTCACGGGCGATGCCTCACACGGATCTTTGTGTCCCGTTCACATCAGGCCTAATAGGTCCACGACTGTTTTTGTCGCTTTGCTCTCTCGTTTATTGTTCTTGCTATGTCCTGTTTTTTCGATTGTTATCGTACATTGTATTATTTTATTATTATTATATGAGTCATACCCAATAAAGCTGTTAAAAAAATAAAAGGAAGAAGAGTACCCATGATTTCACAGGCCCTTTCGGGGCAACTATAAATAGCTTGAAGGCAGGTAAAGTCATCGCATTGCAAATTACAGAATCGTTATCCGATAACAAGGTTTCAGTGACTACAAATAAGTCAGCATTACATTAATAGACGGAATCAACAAATAATGCAGATTTGGTGGCAATAGAGCGAGCATTCAGCGTGCACACAGTCAGATGAGCAGCTGTTGTTGTTGTCTGATGAAGACTGGATACGCACTTAATCTGAGCAAGATTGGGATGGCTGCCATGGTTCCATCTTCAAAGTACAACTATTTGTTGTTTAAGTCGTGACTCGAACTAATGTCGCCACTAGCTGCTGAACGAAGGCGAGTGAGGTTGAAAGTGGAGTATGGTGTGTAAGATCTCCGACGAACAAAGTCGCTATGCCTTCTTTTAGAAGATAAGATTCCAAGATGGTGGGTTGAAGCCAAGGCTTAAAAGAAGCTAAGGCTTAAAATCGAGGCAGGATGTGGGATACGAGATCTGTAAATGCGTGATGCGGGATGAAAATAGGAAGACGATACCGGGATACGATCCTTTTCAAAGGCGGAATAGAAGATAGGACACGTATAGGCGGGATCATGAAAATATTTATTTACTTTAGAAATGGGCTTAATTAATGCTTCCGTGTAAATTGAGGTTGACAGGCCTGAATGATTCCGTAGTACGTCCAGTTTTCTCTGCACAAGTGTTTATACGAATCTCAATGGTTATATTTTTGTTCTCATGAGTATTTCTGAGTGAACGCCCCGTTCTGTATGGTAGTAACGGCGGTTATTTGAGGATTTCTCTTAGCAACGATTGTTGCTGTACTAACTGCCACTTGTTGGGATGATTTCTTTAAGGTGTGGAACTGTTGAATAGTATTGTGTTGTTATTATAAAGGGCAAGATTTTATTACTTGTTTTTCTCTGTTGGAGGAGGGCCTGTTTACGTCCAGTTTAAGTTTCTCTTCTGAGAGTGGGTTGTCAAAAACCTTTTTCGTGTAGTCTCTCTCTTTCAGGTATACTTTGAACTGTTTAATGTTCCCTTCAAATTTATTTTTGAAAAAGTAGTCCAAGGGAATCGTAACGTTCCGCCTTTAACGAAGCCTTTCTTTGCTCCAAGTGGGTAACACGTTGTATAGAATGTGTACTGGAATGTATCTCTTGGTTTGAAGTGGGTTCTCATGTCGAGAACTGACTCCCTGTTGAATCTTTCACCCTTACAGAAAGTAGCCTCTGAAACAAATATTTCGGTTGTTAATTTGATTATTGGTGGGGTTTATTTGCTTGTTCAAAGAACTGATTGATGACATATCTGTTTTTGTTTTATCCATGAAGATAGTTGCAAAAGCTCCCGCCATTTTGGGGCCCATGGCGGCTCCGTGCGTTTGCAAGTAATTTTTTTCGTTGAATTGGGATGAGTCTTCCTGCAAAATCAGCCTTAGCGCTTTCTTTAAATTAACTCTCTAGTAAGAACTTTGGAATTGGGGTGGATGTTGGGGCGTTCTTTTGTGTATAAACTCGTAACGTCCATTAAAACTAGTATCAATTCTTTCGGAAGTTTTGTCTTTTCTATTAAGTCGATGAAATCTGTTGTATCTTTGAGATATGACTTCTGCTGATGGCTGAAGAATTTTGTCTATGTAACACGGTAGCTTTTCTGTTGGTTCTTCCGTGGATGGAGTTTTTGTCTCACTTCATCACACCGAGTGCTTTTAAAATCTTTTCTTTTCAGCATAATGTGAGTATATTATCAATGCTGTGAAGGCTTTAATTTGTCCATCGGCGGTGAACTCGAGCAACTTGGGGTTAACCAGGCGGGATCGGGATGAAAATGCTCATTGTGGTGGGATGGCGGGATGGAATGAAATAGCGGCGCGATGGCGGGATTGGAAAAGTCTATTTTGGACCCTAAACGCTGACTGATAGCTTGTACGATGGATATCTACTCCATCCGAGATTTTTGGCACTCATAAATGTTTACAACACGAAATACACAGGAAACGAAATCATCCGGACAAAATAGGGAGCGATTCAAACAACAGCACAGAGCGAATAGAACTGAAATGGAGGCGGCTTGAGCCGGCGATACAACGACGACTATTTACACGCCACTGCACAAACTGATCTGTCTCTATATGTTGCATACACACGTGCTCCTTTGTGACTAGTAGCCTTTTCTACTAATAAGATACAAAAAGACAAAAATACAAAAATTTATTTCGCAGTCTTAAACTGTGTTTTCGGTGAGCGTTCACACATACTTCTTTGCCATTGGGATTACTCAGCCGTCTCCAAAGTTATCAAAAAAAGAAACAACAAATTTGATTTCGCAGTATTAATCTGTGCTTTGGTGAACATTCTCCTTTCCAGCCTCACGCTGCTCTTCAGTCAAACTCACAAATTTTTAGGAATATAGCTTTCACATTTTCGATACATTAACGCGAAGAATACTCCATCCAATCACGGCTCAGGAAAGTGCCGAGGAAATGACGAGGAACTAATCAAATCTAATTGTCTCAGAGGGCCTGTATTCCTATGGGAGAGAAATTTCCATTTGTAGGCGGAGAAAGTCTTGATATTCAGATAGGAGAACCTCAAGTTAAGGCTATTGTGCGCACGACTGCAGTCAGAATGAATTTTAGCCGCATCGACGGCGTGTCAAGGTTCTCCGACTGGGAGAGGCAGTCAGATTGATAAATTCTAGGAGAGGAACTTTCATGAAGAACATGTTGAAGATAGTCATTAACACAGGAGCTGAACTGCGAGAAACGGAAAAGTGTATATTAAAAGAATAACAACAGATAACATTCAAGAATTAAGTCTCAGCCGTAAGGAACGGAACGCTAAAATCAAAAGTAAAAGTTCTCTATCAAGGTTGGATCCGATGATCAAGGATCGATGATCGATCGATGAACAAGGAACGGTGAGAGTTGGTGGGTGACCAGAAAATTCTGCCTTACCTTTCAGTGATAGATATCCGATAGTCTTAACGCGGCGTTCTGAAATAACCAGGCTCATTAAAAAACCAAGGAAAAGCAATGAGTATGAACGAGACTCGTCCTCATCTCGTGTCGTGTTAATATACAATAAGTATATTTTCGCACAATTGACTTATCCAATCACACCCCGAGTAGCACACCCTGAACACGAATTCGTGCGGGGTATTTTGGATGGGTAGAGGAGAGAACTGGGTGGACAACTTCGCACTCAGTGATAATCAGGCCATGGGTGTCTGAACGGGGAGCGCGAATATTTTTATTTGCGTGTTTGAGATGTTGTTCACGTCAGCTTAGAGCTCATTCGTGACACTACTTGGTTACTGTTGCGTTGCAACATTGTGATTGACTTTTGCACCGGTCATGCGTGTTTTAACTGTCCAAAACTGTTGTTAAGTTGTGATAAATAAATCAGATAGAAGGTCAGTTTTTCAGGTAGAAGGTTAAACTTTTACCTCACCGTTTATCGTGTTTACTTCGCCCGTGAAATCGCCCGTCCGGTAATAGATGGAGGGTGCATAAATCTTTTCATGCAGCACCAGTATCAAGCACATTATTACAAATGTGTAAAACATGCGCAACGAGTAAAAGTATTAGACAATACTACACACCAAAATGTCTAATAAATTATTTATTATCTAACTTTTTTTTCTGCCAAGTGTTTCTGCTCGTTTTTCATAAGGCGGGAAAAGTAAAGCGGTTAGAGAAGCGAAGCGCGTGCGGCCGAACGGTTAAACAGGTCATTTTTTTAGTACAAAACAACCAACTGTAAAATATCGCAGGATATTTTTGATTCACATGTGCTTTATTCGCGTCTTATTTGTACTCTACTTTGTGCAGTTGGATGTAATTTTGAAATGAAGGATTTTGTTCTACAGCTTAAAATGTTTAAATGAAAGACCATTGGGAGGTTGAAAGATAGCACGCCCAGTTAATTTAACATTCTTTTAATACTTCCCTAAATTTAAAATTTCATTTCAACTCCACCCAGTTAATTGAAAATCGTCCGCCTCGTGATTTTGAAATTGTTACTTTTAGTTAGATTAGTAGATGTTACCTCATTCAGAAAATACCAAGTAAACAATATTGTTCAGCCCCAGGATAAGTTTACATCAATAAAGAGCTTCAGTGAAGATATATTCCATGTTTAAAAAAAAATAGCCTTAACCAGTCAAATCATATCAAGATGTAGTCATACACGTTTATTCATTACGCGGAACGTTATCCTATGGTTCTTGGCTTACATTTTGTTGTTGTTAATTTGATTATAGGGACTTGTCTCACAACCAGTTAAAGAATCTATCTTCAGAATTTGTTAGCGGAATTTACCTCCCAGACTATTATTATCTGACGCTGTAAGTAAGACTATTGAACTTTGATTTTATAATTGTTCAAAGGGACCAAAAGGAGATCAAGGTCTACAACTTACCCAGGTAAGTGTTGGGATGAAATGGGAGGAAGAAAGGGTGCATAGATGCTGAGCTGACTCTTCCCCAACCTATGAGGTGTTGCTTACAGGAATGACAGCGAAGGGGGCCGTACACGCCTGGTGAAAACCATTAACCCTTTAACTCCCATGAGTGACCAAAACAGAATTTCTCCCCACAATATCAATGCAAAACCAACCAGATGAGTGATGAGAATAAAGAAAAATATCAATTTAGGGATAATTAGTTGATCCAATATTAAATTCTCTGCTCTAACATTATAAGAATTGTATGGCTGAAAGTAAGGAGAATGACAAATTTGATCTGGGAGTTAAAGGGTTAAGCGACGTAGATCTAAGTCTGCGAAATTAGAAACCATCATTTCTTTCTGTCATCAAAAAAACAAAACAAAACAAAAAATAGCTAGCGTCTTTTTTATCTTGCATACGGTAAAAGTGAGGACATCGTGAAAATTTACCCGTCATTGAGCGTGATCCGCCGGGTAAATGAGATTGTCGAAAGAAATAACGTCATCTTCTGAGATAAACGTTTTATAAACGTGGGCGTAAGTCATCAAACGAAATCAAGCACATGCATAGTCACGTGTTATTTGAACAAGTTCGGTCCTTTAATTGGTCAGCTCCGTGTTATATATCGTTTGATTTCCAAATTTTTAACAGTTCATTAGTCTCTTTTGGTTGATTTTGATCCGTCTATCATAATACAGGGCCTTTTCATTTAAAATAACAGCAGCTTTGACTATTTCGCTCAGATCTTGAAAGTTCACATCAGTTTGGTATCGTACTCTTGATTCTACTGTTACCTTTGGCAAAATTGCAAATTTTTTCAGATATTTTTTGATTATAATTTAACTTCTCACGGCGATTGCAGCTCGTCATGTGACCCCAACTTTTGTTCCTCAATGATTTCCATAACATGCACCAGGCATTCTAGTTTGTGGATAGTACGGCGTCACTGACAGAAATGATATGACTTCGTGAACGCCTTTAGTCGAGCATCATGACGGGATGCTCAAGATAAATAGCCACTTAGACAGTAAGATTGTCGCTCTCGGTGACGGAATGGAGACGTAATTGATCATGCAAGCGCTTAACCGAAGAGTCTTACTTCGAGGTGGTGAGGGGGTGGGGCGGAGGAATTACCTCTGAGCTGACTAACTAACGGACACAGGGAAAATATCAGCCAATTATTTTTTGATACCAATAATGAGCATCAACTGGAATTGGGACGAGCCAAGTGAGACTTAACAGGAGTTTAATTTGCCTACTTATTTCTTGGAAGAATGTAAATCTAATGTCAATCTAACAAGGCGCTATTAAAGCCTTAACATCTTTGGGGATTTATTGAGGAATAATTAGGCGATCCTTTAGTGGGAGGTCGTAATTAGACCTTTATTATGAAAAAAATATAATCCAAAGATAACCGGTGTATTAGTAAAAACTTTTTCTAACTTACACAAACTTAAACTCGTAAGTATTAGCCAGTTCAAAGTTACTTTTCAAGGTTAAATAGAACTCGAGA